AGAAATGTGTATAGAATAATACTCTCAAGAGGAGCTATGTTGTTTTCTGCAAAAGCATCTGGGACATAACCTGTTGGTCACAGTGTTGACAGTGACAGTTATATGTGATTTAGCTTTTGATTTCAGAAGGGCAGAATTTATCCCTGACTTGTCACTTACATACAGCAGTCACCAAGTTTTTCTCCTTACTGCTCATTTAGTAATACTTTCTTCTCCTTTATCATATGTCAGAGCTGATATTTCTGATATTGGTGTTACATGTGTCTTTTCCTCAGAAAACTTACTGCACAAAATCCCAGCTTTCTTTTCAGATGGACGGGGAGGTTTAAAAAACCAGAGGTATGAGCTTTGGAAAAAGACCTTGTCAGAACAGTATTTCAGCACTTCACTAAGCCTTAAACATATGTCACCACTTTTTTGTGAGCAAAGGCTACCTACATCCACAAATCCATTCGTGTGGGTATGATGTCTAATGTTCATTTATGTAAAGAACAAAATTGTTGTGGTAGTGCTGGGTGAATAATTATTTTAATGCTGGTAAAAATAGAAACTGTTCCTCTTTCAGCGTAAGTCATGTCACCTCTCAAATGCACTTTTTCTCAGCAAGTAGTAGGCTCAAGTCCCATGAAGGATTGTACAATATGAAGTCATTTTGCAAGACTGTATTTACAAAAACAGCTACCCTAGAGTAAGAACTGTCTTGGACTTTGTCATGCAGAGTTGCAATCTGTTGCTGGTACTAATCATTAGTATTAATCTCCATTGTTAGGTATAAAAACTTTAGATGCCATGAGAGCTATGTTGGTTGGCAGTGAAGAGCATCTTATAATAGCTGGAATTTCACAAACAAGCAACAACAACAACCAACAACAACCAACAACCAAAACAACAAAACACCAACCCCCCCCCGCCAAAAAAAAAAAAAAGAAAAAACAACCAAACCCCCCCAAACTAGTTAGGCTGCTTCTGTCTGTCTCCTGCTTTTTTTTTTTTTTTTCTAGAGCAATACAGCATTCTTTTTAAAGTTAAAATTACTTCTTTCTCAGTAGTCTTAAATCCTCAGCTGTAGGAGCAAGTCAGCAGTGCCCATGTAAAGCTTTTGCACAATGTCTTTACAAGTCTACAGTGAAACACAGCTCTTTTAAAATTCTTCACACATTTCAGTGTGTGGGAACCACAGACTTATTTTTCATATGGCTGTTGATGCCACAGAGCAGGCCAGCCAGGCTCCCAAGGTGCAAACTGCTGCTGCTCTGTGATGTGCAAGAAAGACTTCATTCCCTCCCAAGGCCATCATATAGAATATATGTGTGCACACCCATCTTTGTGTTTGCACCTGTCTAGCATTAGCCCATAGCGATTTTGATGAACTGATTAAAGTAATTTCTATATTGCACTGGAATTTTCCTTTGAAAAGATACTGTCAATATAATAAACTTCTGACTAAAGCAAGGCTAGCAAAGGCCTCTGGAGAGAACTAAAGGAAATAAATTTTCTAGATTATTTATCTAATGGATGTGTCAGCAGTTTGAGTATTGACAGTGTCCCCTTTCATTTGTATGATTATTTCTCCCCCCTCCCTGTCAGAGAAATTAGTTATTTAAAAACAACAGAATGTGCCTGTACAGATGTTGCTAAGGGAGATGGAAGGAGCTGCAACATGGGAACTATCCACATAACTAATAAGATATCAAATGGAATGAACGGAAAGTCATTGGGTACTCCTGGTTTCTTCAACTGCGCAAAGCTTATTTATTTGTATGTATAGTGGAAGTCATTATTAGTCAGCGACTGAGTAAAAACAGACAAGCCATAAGTAAGATATTTATGGTAAGTTTGATATGCATTTGTATATGCAATCATGAAATTCCAGATGCTTTAGCAGGACTTTGCAGAAGCAAAGGACATGCCATGCTAGTCCTTACACATGAGCTATGGATGAAACAAATCCTGATTTTTTTCTCACATTTGCTCTATGTCTGTACTTGCTGAGAGAGCAGCTAAAGCACAAGTCCAGTGGAACTAAATAGTTGTTATTTTTTAACACAGTTGTTGATATTGTAAATTGTTCTGTGCAAAGAGTAATGGTATCTGTTAATACAAAATATCTATTTTTGGAGGTAGCTTATTGGGATTTTTTTCCTATATAGAAAAAAATCCTCCAAAAACTTTATTGCATTGGTACCTTGTCAATATGCCATTAGATAAAGGAATTATTTTTACCTAGTAGGATTTAAGAAAGTAAGCCAACACTGTATTTAACAGAGCACAAATAAATGTGCTTTTTTGTTCTGAGGAGTAAGAGTTATAAAACATTTCTGAATCATTCATGTTATCTGAAATGATCTTCGTATGCTATTCCAGTCCTAATACTGCAATAGAAATTGTTATGAGGTAACTTAGATTTCATTGTTTGTTACTGTGGATGAAACTACTCTCTTAATAAGTATGCTTTTTGCTTCACAGCAAGTGCTGATTCGATTCCTGAAATCTGCTGTAATATGTTTATGTCTCCATGTGTTAAAGCCATTTATATTACCTGCTGTTGGAGAACTGTCAGCAGTAAATGTCAATAGTAGTGATACAGAGTTACTTATGTATATGAATTTAACTGTGTCATCCAAAAACTTCAAATGATAAAATTATTTTAGAGGCAAAACTTGGTAAAGCTTAGATATATATTCTTTATTTATTAGATGATAAATACACAAGTCTAGCCACCTTTCCCCTAAAATTTATGCAAAGATATATATACACACACACATATATATATATATTTAAGAAATATAAGGCATAGTGTTTTCATGGAAATTTTAAAAAGTGCCAATATCAGTATGCCATAAGCATCCTGAGATGGTGAAATTCCTGACAGTGCAGGAAATCTGTGTGGGCCTGTACAGTCATTTTATTCAGATATGAGGCCTTTGACATTGAGGTGCATTTTTTTACGATAGAAATTTAATTCACAAGAAGGGTGGCATATGTTACTTGAGTGCATAAAAAAGAAAACAAAAACATCTTTTTAATGCTCTTGGGCCCTAATTCTTCCTAGACTTGCTGGGAAGTTTGTACAAATTGCAGTATGTTCACTGAAAGCACTGAGGTTACTCGGTGTTAAGAAAATATATATTTTACAGAAAGAGCAGGTGGTATTTCATATGGTATAGGATATTTGTATTTGTTTTTAATTTCCTATACCTTTAGTATTTCTTTCTGGTATATGTTTTGAGGACCTCTGTATTTTTAATAGTCGGACTTTTTCAAAGCTAAATATATTGCCTTTACCATGTGTTGATCTCTTTTCCATTTGATTTTAGAAATCAAACTCCCTAACATTAGCTACGTTGAAGGATTGCTGTGCATTGACATGCAGAACTATGTGTATATATATAGTTTTTTTTTAATTGTCATTTGGACAAATTCTGTTGTTTTTGTAACTTTCATGAGCCTTTTGCCAGGTAAACTCCAGCTTCACCAAGTTTAGTTGGAGTCAGAATATGAGGATTTTAATGTTTCAGAGGGCTTTTCTCTTTTGTGTTACCAGAAAGTAAAGCATAAAATATGTGTTTCATATCTTTAAAAACAGTTATGTGTGCATCACTTTAAAAAACATTAGTATTCATATTCATTTGAATTTTCCTTTTTGTTCATATGTACATTCTAGTGATTATTTCTATATGATATGATGCTGAGCTTTTAAAATGTTGATAGGATGATTATGATGCAACTTAAACTACAAATTTTTATGTCTTTGAAGTGTTCTACCAAAATGAAAAAAATTTTGAATGTAAGAATGCTTATATTTAAGAATATGGTGCTTTTCCCCCACTTTACAATAGAATTGTTATCAGTGGCATTTTTAGTTCCAAATTCTGATGAAAATTACATTGCTCTTCATTTATTGTAAAATGTGCTTTGTGAGATAAAAATTGTGCATTTGTTCCATATTTTTTAAATAAAGCTGAATATCTGGCTGCAGCCAGAGACACCTGTTTACTTTTATTCACACTGAACTGTGGTCCTGTCTACACCAGTGTCTTCGCCTTGCTTTGCATCTTCCATTGTGGCCTCTCCAGTCATATTTTCTGCTCCCTTCTCCTCCAAGGAAAACCTCAAATTTCAAGAAAAGGTCTTTGACAGCCCAGTGTGGGCATAAACATAAACGCTACAAATGTCAAGCTCATCACGTTCATCTCTTAGCAGTGAAGAGGTCCCTACACCTTCTCAGTGTGCTTCACACAGGCATCCATGAACACTCTGTCACGGACTATGGAGCCCCAAATCATCACCATGGCTAGGCTTCGCGAACGAAGATTTGAGAAGGGGCTCTACCCATGCTTGCTACAAGCGCGCTGATGGCTAAAAAGGCCAATGCGAGATAGACAAGTCCGGTTGCAGAAGGTACAGCAGAAAGATTCGCCAGGTGATATAGATGAGATGCGATTCTTTTCTCCTCGAAGCCCCAAATAGGAACACAGAGATACTTCTGTTTTACAATGTGAGGCAGCTTTTCCTGAACATCTGGGAGTCTCTTTGCTGTGGCTGGTATGAGTGCAATAGTCTGACTTAAAATGTACTCTTACTATCTTAAGCCAGCGCTGCTCTGTGCCCAACGTGCACCTGCAGGGTCACCTGTGGCACCACCTGTGCAGCCCTCTCTGCTCCGCTCCCCTCTGCCCATCCCGCTACGGGTCCGAAGGCAGCCAAGAGCTTTGCGACCTGTGCAGAGCCACGCGTGGCGAAGGGCGGCTGTCACCGCCGAGCCGCTGCGAGCAGGGACGCTCCACAGGTGCCCCCCCGAGGTCTAGCTCTGCTCAGAACACGGGGTCCTCAGGGAGGAGAGCTGGGTGCTGGTGAGATGGGCACGCCCGAGCAGCACAGTGCTCACGGCCCCACCAGCAGCCCCAGCCCCGCCCGGCTCCTCCTCCTCCCCTCTGCGCCCCATTCCTCCCTCCCAGTACTGCCTTGCCTCACATCTCTTCTCGCCGGCTGCTCCAGCCATGCAGCCTGGGTGGTTCCTCAGCTTGCTGCTGCTGCTGCTGCTGCTGCAGGAGACGCTGCCACACGGTAAGCCCCCGCCGCGTCCCCAACACTCTGTGGGTCGCCTTGGGCTCTCCTTTTTCCTGTCGTCCCCGCGCCGACAGTCCCAGGAACAGGACCTGGAGCCACCTCAGGGGCGGTGGGGGAGAAGAAAGCGAGCTGCTCGCACCGTGTGCGAATAGCGGTGCGCCCGGACCCTCTGGCCAAAGTGTGGGTTTGGGGTGAGGCATTTGTGGGTTTGGGTTAGGGTTAGGGAGTGGGGTATGGGAAGAACGTGTTCAGACTCACCGGTGACTACAGAAACATGGAACAGAGGGAGCTTGTGTGGAGAGAAAAACTTCATTTAGACAAAGTCAAAACCAGGCTCTGGCACTTTTTGAAAAGCTTTCATATGGGAGTCTTTAACAGTTTCTTAAAGGCACAGCACAAGCGTGGGATGAAGCATTTCCTTGGCATGACGGTGCAGGATTCATGTGCCTTTAAAATAGTGTTAGGATTGAGGTTGGCTGAAAGTAGTGGAAACGGCAAAGAGTAGTTTGAACAAATAGTCCTTTATCAATGAATGGCCAGTCTCTTCGCGAACGAAGAACCGGGGAAGGTTTTTACACCTTCCAGCCTGCGCATTGGATTTTTTAGGGGAGACACAGTGTGCGCGGAACTGAGCCCACCCTTTAATCCTGAGGTTCATCTGCCGGGGCCAAGCACGCTTGGACGGTGGCAGCGAGGTCCTCAGGACGTAGATGGATTGCCTTACAGGGCTAACGCTCTGCCCGGGGAGGGGCCCTGACCAGGACTCGAACCTGGGTCTCAGCGTTCACAGTACTGTGATTTAACCACTTCACCACCAGGGGCTGGTGTCGGAATTCCACTAAGATGGAATAGCTCAACCCAAGGGAGAGGTGTTGAAGAAATATTTATTGTTAAGTCTGATTCCTGGTGGGTTTTCTCAGTAGAAGTCATCTGGACTGAAATACCAGTCCTGTGGAGAACAAACAACCCAGTGTGTAATGATGGCTCTGTTAAGGAAAATCAGAGAGTCAGCAAGGACTGGATAGAAAAGCAAAAGGAAGAATTGTAGCGAGTCAAAAACTAAGCAATCCCAGTGGAGGCAAGAAACTGGAATGGTTTATTGGACTTAGAAGTTCATATTTAAAGGGTTTAGGGTCTACATATTCAAAAGGGGTTTGTAACTATTACAATTTATTACAAATAGGGTTTCAGGGGATGACATAAGGGGAAAACCCAGGATAACAAATTTGGGGTCTTAGCAATCTCACAGGGGGGAGACAGGTATTCGGTTCTGTAGGATGCAAGGATTCAGGAAACACGGAGGGATAAGGAACAATGGGTCTTCTAAATAGGTTTGATGAAATCAAGGTAGGGACTCTCTGGGCTGGGGCAGGGCAATCAACACCAATTATACCTCGTTTGTTTCTCAAGCCGAGGTTTCTTCACCAACTCTCATAGCCCATGGCTTTCTGCAAAGTCCACTCAAATCCCTCTCTGCAGATATCATTTTTTGGGATCCAACAAAAATTACTTTCCCTAATTAGGTTGGATCACACACGTCAGGGTGTGATGCAGAGTGCAGCAATTCTTGAGTTGATTCGTAGTAGTATTCAGGTAATTGCATTCAGATGTTACTGAATCATACAGACTAATCAGTACAGCCAGACTATGGTTTCAGTATTCTTGCAGGAATGATAAACGCCAAAGAAATGACTGATGGGTTTAATTTTGGAAGGAGGAATTACATAAGATGAGGAGGCTCCTGAACTCACATATGGGTTAAATGTAAAAATCATGTTAAGCAGACAAAAAGAGAAAACAGCTTGCAAAAGGGACAAACCCAGCCTTTTCTTCTGATGTACTGGGGTGGGGTATAGAGAGGTGGCTGCAGGATTCATAGGGCTGGTAGGAATGGGGAATAAGAAAGAACACCTATATAAAGTAAAACTTAAAAACTTAATTGTGAAGCACCTGTGTTCAGGTGCTTCCTACCTGTGCTTAGGGAGGTTTCAATGGAAAACGGTGTCATGATAAGCACAGCAGAAACTTTTCAGTGCAGTATCCTGCTGTTGCGTAAAAATCCAAGTCAAATTAGATTGGAGATAAGATAAGCAGCAGAGGTTTTAATGAGGCTCCAGGAATACAAACTCACGGGCGCTTCCTCAAACACAGGTGCTACAGTTTTTATAATGATTTCTATCCAGTCCCATCCAGCCACCCCCCTCTCCGGTTCTGCCCCATTCTGCCCCCATATATGCCCTTCAGGAACTGAGTCTGGGGGATTTGGGGGACTCCAAACTCCCAAAACTCCAAACCTGTTACTAATTTTGTGAAGAATCTTTCTGCCTTATTAGACTGGTATTCTATCTACACTTCTTCTATTGCCCTTATTATTTACATGAATGCTCTATGGCATGGCTGGGCCATTCCAATGTTCTTATTTTTAGCCTGACTTGTCTATCTATAGGCCTAAAAAGGCCTATCTTTGGCCTTTTTAGCCATCAGCGCGCTTGCACCAAGTGTGGGTAAGAGCCTTCTCATCATGATGATGATAATTTTTAGCAATTTACCTCATAGCCAGGAGTTGGAGAATACAATGGAACATTATGCCTAAAGTTTCTCAACCCATTAAACGTGCAAAAAAGGACCTGACTGTGTCTGAAAAGTTTCAGCTTGTTCTGGATGTGGCTCAGAAGGCACAGAACCTTTTGGCAAGATGGCAGACATACTAGAAAAATTTCCTGATCTTCATCAAAGCATATGCAGTTCTTGGAGGCTTTCCAAGGTTCTGGTCTTGAAGGTTGTTGCATCTATGTCTGTATCTTCTTGCGTAGATTTTAGGGTGTTCTCTACAACTGTACCTTGAAAATGAGACTAAACAGGCTAATGGAATTTAGGGGGATTGATATGGGAATTAGGTAACAGGGTTGGCTATGTGTAACTAGTGTGTTAAGCCTAAGGGATAAAATGCAGTTATGTTAAAATCTACATTCACTACACAACTACTCCTAAAATCTACAAAAATTAGAAAAATCAAAACTTCTAAGGCAACACTGCCAAGCACTGTAATTGCAGACTCTGAGACAGAATGTTTCTCTACGGTGAGAATCATTAGAGATGTCTCATATGCCAAAATAATCAGCTTTAGGGAAAATCAGCAACCTAAACAGTGTTTAAGTGCCATGATATTATGATATACTCAATTTTGAAAGACTAGGCAGTGAAAATAGTACTTGAAATTTTGTGTTGATAGATGGTAGATATGATTAGATGGTAGATATGATTAGGTTAGATATGATTCTAACTTCATATACGCATTGATGTGTTTCTACTTATGTATTTCTAACAAGTAATTCCTACTTAGGAAAGTGTATCTGGAGTTACACTTGATTATTCTAGAGAAAGTCAGCTCCTAATGTTGCTCATCTTTAAAATTAATAAGCTGTTTATACAGGAAGACACCATTAATATGTACAACTGTGATTTAACTGTGTCTTGAACCTGGTGTACAGTCTGCTTTTGTGTTCTTTCTGTTACCCAAACGTGGTGTAACTGAACTGTTGTTAGATGCATATTCTTCACAAGGAATAGTTAAATAGAGTAAGACATATCAGNTCGCGAACGAAGAACCGGGGAAGGTCTTTCCACCTTCCAGCCTGCGCATTGGATTTTTTAGGTGAGACACAGTGTGCGCGGAACTGAGCCCACCCTTTAATCCTGAGGTTCATCTGCCGGGGCCAAGCACGCTTGGACGGTGGCAGCGAGGTCCTCAGGACGTAGATGGATTGCCTTACAGGGCTAACGCTCTGCCCGGGGAGGGGCCCTGACCAGGACTCGAACCTGGGTCTCAGCGTTCACAGTACTGTCATTTAACCACTTCACCACCAGGGGCTGGTGTCGGAATTCCACTAAGATGGAATAGCTCAACCCAAGGGAGAGGTGTTGAAGAAATATTTATTGTTAAGTCTGATTCCTGGTGGGTTTTCTCAGTAGAAGTCATCTGGACTGAAATACCAGTCCTGTGGAGAACAAACAACCTGGTAATTGACCACCCAGTGTGTAATGATGGCTCTGTTAAGGAAAATCAGAGAGTCAGCAAGGACTGGATAGAAAAGCAAAAGGAAGAATTGTAGCGAGTCAAAAACTAAGCAATCCCAGTGGAGGCAAGAAACTGGAATGGTTTATTGGACTTAGAAGTTCATATTTAAAGGGTTTAGGGTCTACATATTCAAAAGGGGGTTGTAACTATTACAATTTATTACAAATAGGGTTTCAGGGGATGACATAAGGGGAAAACCCAGGTTAACAAATTTGGGGTCTTAGCAATCTCACAGGGGGGAGACAGGTATTCGGTTCTGTAGGATGCAAGGATTCAGGAAACACGGAGGGATAAGGAACAATGGGTCTTCTAAATAGGTTTGATGAAATCAAGGTAGGGACTCTCTGGACTGGGGCAGGGCAATCAACACCAATGATACCTCGTTTGTTTCTCAAGCCGAGGTTTCTTCACCAACTCTCATAGCCCATGGCTTTCTGCAAAGTCCACTCAAATCCCTCTCTGCAGATATCATTTTTTGGGATCCAACAAAAATTACTTTCCCTAATTAGGTTGGATCACACACGTCAGGGTGTGATGCAGAGTGCAGCAATTCTTGAGTTGATCCGTAGTAGTATTCAGGTAATTGCATTCAGATGTTACTGAATCATACAGACTAATCAGTACAGCCAGACTATGGTTTCAGTATTCTTGCAGGAATGATAAACGCCAAAGAAATGACTGATGGGTTTAATTTTGGAAGGGGGAATTACATAAGATGAGGAGGCTCCTGAACTCACATATGGGTTAAATGTAAAAATCATGTTAAGCAGACAAAAAGAGAAAACAGCTTGCAAAAGGGACAAACCCAGCCTTTTCTTCTTCTGATGTACTGGGGTGGGGTATAGAGAGGTGGCTGCAGGATTCATAGGGCTGGTAGGAATGGGGAATAAGAAAGAACACCTATATAAAGTAAAACTTAAAAACTTAATTGTGAAGCACCTGTGTTCAGGTGCTTCCTACCTGTGCTTAGGGAGGTTTCAGTGGAAAACGGTGTCATGATAAGCACAGCAGAAACTTTTCAGTGCAGTATCCTGCTGTTGCGTAAAAATCCAAGTCAAATTAGATTGGAGATAAGATAAGCAGCAGAGGTTTTAATGAGGCTCCAGAATACAAACTCACGGGCGCTTCCTCAAACACAGGTGCTACAGTTTTTATAATGATTTCTATCCAGTCCCATCCAGCCACCCCCCTCTCCGGTTCTGCCCCATTCTGCCCCCATATATGCCCTTCAGGAACTGAGACTGGGGGATTTGGGGGACTCCAAACTCCCCAAACTCCAAACCTGTTACTAATTTTGTGAAGAATCTTTCTGCCTTATTAGACTGGTATTCTATCTACACTTCTTCTATTGCCTTTATTATTTACATGAATGCTCTATAGCATGGCTGGGCCATTCCAATGTTCTTATTTTTAGCCTGACTTGTCTATCTCGCTTTGGCCTTTTTAGCCATCAGCGTGCTTGCACCAAGTGTGGGTAAGAGCCTTCTCATCATGATGATGATAATTTTTAGCAATTTACCTCACAGCCAGGAGTTGGAGAATACAATGGAACATTATACCTGAAGTTTCTCAACCCATTAAAAGTGCAAAAAAGGACCTGACTGTGTCTGAAAAGTTTCAGCTTGTTCTGGATGTGGCTCAGAAGGCACAGAACCTTTTTGGCAAGATGGCAGACATACTAGAAAAATTTCCTGATCTTCATCAAAGCATATGCAGTTCTTGGAGGCTTTCCAAGGTTCTGGTCTTGAAGGTTGTTGCATCTATGTCTGTATCTTCTTGCATAGATTTTAGGGTGTTCTCTACAACTGTACCTTGAAAATGAGACTAAACAGGCTAATGGAATTTAGGGGGATTGATATGGGAATTAGGTAACAGGGTTGGCTATGTGTAACTAGTGTGTTAAGCCTAAGGGATAAAATGCAGTTATGTTAAAATCTACATTCACTACACAACTACTCCTAAAATCTACAAAAATTAGAAAAATCAAAACTTCTAAGGCAACACTGCCAAGCACTGTAATTGTAGACTCTGAGACAGAATGTTTCTCTATGGTGAGAATCATTAGAGATGTCTCATATGCCAAAATAATCAGCTTTAGGGAAAATCAGCAACCTAAACAGTGTTTAAGTGCCATGATTTTATGATATACTCAATTTTGAAAGACTGGGCAGTGAAAATAGTACTTGAAATTTTGTGTTGATAGATGGTAGATATGATTAGATATGATTAGGTTAGATATGATTCTAACTTCATATACACTTTGATGTGTTTCTACTTATGTATTTCTAACAAGTAATTCCTACTTAGGAAAGTGTATCTGGAGTTACACTTGATTATTCTAGAGAAAGTCAGCTCCTAATGTTGCTCATCTTTAAAATTAATAAGCTGTTTATACAGGAAGACACCATTAATATGTACAACTGTGATTTAACTGTGTCTTGAACCTGGT